ATGTAATTAACCGCTGCCCGGCTTCCTGATTGCCCGGGAAGCCTGCTCCATGCCAACATAAGCACAGATACTCGGTATCGGCGAGTACCGAAAGCAAGATATGTGGCTTTAGCCCTTAGACAAGTAGTTTTTAAAAAAAAATTCCACATCCCTGTAATATGATTTTAAAAGTCACAAAGTAAAAGGAAACGTATGCTTTAAGAGATATATTTTTAAATACCTTTTATATCCAGATGTCAGAACCCATGAAACATATTAGAAAACTCACACAGTGCTGATCTCACCCTTCACTGCAGACTTTTTATTCCGTACACAACCCACACAGCACAGCACTAAATACAACAGGGCGAGGTAAAACATCTGCATGCTAATTACACTTCCTGCAGCACCCCGCACTCATTAGAATGTGGCCTTTGGGTCTGAAAGAGCACTGTGTGAGCTATAATCAGTCAGCGGACCTGATTCCCATATTAATGCCTTTCAATGAAGCAGGCAGCTCGGACAAAGCTACTATGTGCTCTACTGGCCAGCTAAACCACCTGCTCCCAGGGGGAAGACCTAGGTTAAGCTTTGTGGCAATCCGGTCCTTAACCCCTTCTGTTGCTGACATGGCAAACTGAAGGTTAAGAAATGAAAGCAAAGTCGATACATCTGCAAAGTCCATTTAAAGACGGAAGGAAAAAGGAAGGAAGGAAAAACAATCACAAGTAAGCATACTTAAGCTGGCCATACACATAAATATTATCTGCAGACTTTCTATGGTCAGATGGAAAAAGTGCAACAGATTCCTCCATCTACGCTAAGCTGTGTGGATGGAGGAATCTCCCGCTGGGTCAAGCTTCAGTATCTTGCTAGTCAGCCCAGCTGGTTCTCAAAATACCTGAAAAATGCCTGCAATGCTTTGACAGGCAGCGGGCTGACCAGCAAGATACTGAAGCTTGGCCCAGTGGGAGATTCCTCCGCCCACACAGTTCAGCGTAGATAGAGGAATCTGTTGCACTTTTTCCATCTGATCATATAAATCTGCAGATAACCTATAGGTGCATGGCCGGCTTAAATCTCAGGTTAAGTGTGCATGCTGCTTGTGAGAAGCAGAACACAAGGTGACAGTTTTTCGCATAGTAACGCTTGTTCCTTAGAGCAGCGGTTTGTGAATGCTGATAGAGGTTCACTAATAAATATTTTCATAATTAGGACAACAGTCTACCATTAAAAAGGAGGCCCACCCAAAGTCCAGACGCTGAAAGCTGCTGCAGGTACCTCAAGGTCAGGGGGAGGCAAACTCCAGCTGTAGTGAAACTAAAAATCCCACCATGCATCTGCCTCTTGCAGTCATGCCTGTGGCCGTCAGGGTCTGGCAATGCCTCATGGAATTTGTAGTTCAGCAGCTGAAGGGACAGAGTCTGCCTACCCCTGATCTAGGTGATTGCATTTTATACCCGTTAGCAGCAATTTTGCGAATATGTTTCTATAAAGCTGGCCTATAGCAGCCTTAAAAGAGAACTATGGGATAAGTGTTTTTCCCCATAGTTCTCTTGAGGGTCACGGGAGGACACATACTAGCGTCCTCCCGTGACCCAGAGCTCAATGTGACAGTATTCATTGTTTCTCTAGTCAGCGCTGGAGGATCGGAGCGGGGAAATCCCTGCGGGGAGCTGCGAGTGACCTTCACGGCTCTCTACAGGGACATGATCGATAAGTGAGTGAGCAACGGTATGTGTTCACTCACTTCCCGATCTATTGAGCCGACGTGTGAAAGTCTCATTGTCACACGTCGGCTCGAACTATGATGAAAGGAAATCACTCACCTCATAGTTCTCCTTTAATGTGGCTCTTTATTCCACAACTTCTGTACAGTACAGGTGCTGGAGGTGTTAATTCTAAAAGCCAATTACATGAGCACAGCGGGCTGTGAATAATATAAACTTTCATTCATTACTGGTAACAAGAGCATTTTTTAATCCTTAAACCTATTCATTAATTATTATTTGGCCTTTTTGTTCTTCCGCAAATTTAGGGAACACTTATACTTGGGTAACCTCAGAGTGATTCTGGAGCGACAGTAATATATACGCCAGAGAAGCAGGAAGATGGGAGATGAGCAAACTGCACTGGCGCTTCTGTAAATATCACAGCCGCCTCTGTGAGATAGTGTTTACTGTGACTTTCTGTGACCTCAAGATCGAACTACTGTTGTCGCCAGTTAAGGCCAACACACCAGAAAAGCAAAAGGGCATGACAACCTGCGCTAAGGGGCAAGAAGAGTAGAAGATGAAGACTGTCACAGACTGTATTTATGTATTCTAGAGATCCTCTCCATCTTCTGTGTCTTGCTAAAGGGCACGTAAAGACACAGTGTGACATTAATACTTATCAATGGGTCTATTACACAGCTGAATGACGGGGTTTGTACTTAACAGGAAGCTGCATCGGTGGAACTATGATAGCTGCAAGTTCTGGCAAATTTTTAAAGGTCTAGGCTCTGGAGTTCTAATTTCTACCACTACTTTACTACTTCTTAAAGGAGAACTATGGGTTCAGGGCTTTTCCCCATAGTTCTCCTAAGGGTCACGGGAGAACACAAACTAGCATTCTCCCGCGACCCAAAGCTCAGTATACTGAGACGCCGCAGCCGCAACGGAGTGACAGCTGGCTCTGCGTGAGTGACAGCTGGCTCTGCCTAGCTAGAGGCAGAGCCAGCTGTGCCCGCCCCCTCCCCTATCCGTTCTGCTAGTCAGCGCTGGACACGGGAGGGGGGAATCCCTGCAGGGAGCCGTGAGTGACAGTCACGGCTCTCTGCAGGGATAGATTGAGAAGTGAGCGAGCGCCGGTATGTGTTCGCTCACTTCCCGATCTACTGAGCCGACAAGTCTCATTGTCACAGGTCGGCTCAGATTATGAGGTGAGTGAAAATCACTCACCTCATAGTTCTCCTTTAATCTCTAACCCAGAACAGGTTATGCAGCTGGGAGCGTATACGTTTCAGACTTTACAAGCCACATGCTTGTTATGGGTCAGAGATTCATTAGGTAGTGATCCAAGATCAGGCTCTGGAACTGTAACTTTAAAATGTTCACCCCTAATGGGTCTCGCCTGCCATGCTTATTTATAATCAATTAACCACTTGCTGACCGCGGTGTTAAACCCCCTTCCTGGCAGGGACATTTTTCAGTATTCAGCTCTGCGGTACTTTGACTGACATTTATTCCATCATATAACGCTGTACTGAAATTAATTTTATACAATTTTTTAGGGTTAGTTTGAGCTTTCTTTTGGTGGTATTTAAATCACAGCTGGGGGTTTTATTTTTTACTATATAACAAAAAGAGTACCGGAAAAAAAAAGTTTTCTGTTTATTATGTTAGGAAACATTTATTATCACCCAATTGTTTGGTAAAATCAGTTTAGTGTTATCAGTGATTAATGGCCTGAGGATTATTGCTCTCACTGCGATGTTTGCGGTGATATGTAACAAGTGCTGCGTAATTGGCTCAATCGTCGTTTTTTTAGTGTAGGCGCTCCTAACGCATTTTTGCACATCTATGTGGGGGACTTTAAAAAAATGTTGTGGGTTTTTTGTGTGTGTGTGTGTACATTTGTATTTTACACTTAACTTTATTGTTATCACATAGGGGGATAAGAATCCCCCTATGTGATATCACATTACAGTGACAGGTCCCCTTTATGTAGACATCAGGTGTCTCTAAGACCCACAATGTCACCTAGGGACCCCAGAGAAGCTGATGAAGCACAGATCTGCTTCATCAGCTTCTCTCCGGTTTCTGTACCGGAGAGTGACAGAGGAATGTGGAAGTGATGTAGTAAACATCACTTCCTGCATTCAGAGACTGGGGAGGAGAGCGGAGGGAGATTGTGTACTGAACTCTCTCCGTTATCAGTGCACGGAGCCACATCGCCCATCCCGGATCGGACGCCCGGGATTGCAGGGACGGCGACCACGAGAAGAGGTAAGGAGGGGGGCTCACAGAGACATGCATCATACAAGCGATCGGGCGTCTTTACAGATGACGGACCGCTTCTATGTGAACGGCCATCGCTGGCTGTTTAAAATTCTGGCGGTTTAAAGACGCCCACCCACATCCAGAAGACTCCCGTTTGTGAACGTTCGGCGGACGGGAGATGGTTAAAAACCCTTACAAAGAACTGAAATGGCCTTTTAGTTGGCACTACAAAAGTTTTGACCAATTTTCACTGCAATTTCTGTTACCTGAATTAAAACAAATTGAAATGATGAATGACATTTGAAAATGATGTAAAGCTCTACAGTAGAGAAGAGTCTGGGCTTGATGTGAACCCAGTTCGCCTGCGTTTGCCCAAGCCCGCTCAAATCTCTGACTACCACTTCCTCCTCCAGACCCAATCAATGTCGGATGTTGCGGTGGGGGCATTGACTGCCCATTGTGACGTATAGCAGTGAAGCGGGGAATGCACTGGGTCAGGAGTAGAGGGTGGCGGTCAGAGTTTTGAACAGACTTGGGGCGAACTCAGGCCAAGTCCAGCCTTATTACTACTATACAGCCTTAGGAGATCAATCCCGTATCCAGCAGGAGCAGCACTTTTTTTTACTGAAAAAGCCAACCCGCCAGGTGCCTCCTGCATAGGTCAGGAGCTCTCTGGAATCCTGCTGGAATAGATTACAGAGAGCTCAGAGTAAGGTAAATCAAGGGCTCCGGTTATAAAGCCTTACCACATCCATACCTCTTCTCTTAAAATAAAGCCATGTGCTTTAAAAATTCACATTGTGCTCCACAAATGAATGGATTAAGAAACAAAACAAAAACGGGAACAGACCCTGCCATGAATAGGACTAAAAAAATGCAGAACGTGGTGTGGAGTAACTGCAGTGTTCAGCGGAGAGTGGTATCTGCTCTCCTCTATATATAGTCCTCTTAGTGACCAATCAGCCATCATTCCCGGATAACAAAGGCTGACTGATTTCACCTGAGACTACTCATTACTGATAAGTCAGCTCTGCTCACCTTGCCATCTTCTGTGTAAACATTTTCATTGTAACCCTTCACGATGGTGCGATCAATAAACAGACTGCGCATCACTACAATCACTTTCAATACTTTGCCCAACGTCACCTGCAGTGAGAGAACAGAGAAGACAGTTAACCTAAGCAGATAATGGAAGTAAAGGTCTCAAACTATATAACTATGTAACAGAGGGGGCCTGATTGGAGGAGGTAATTCCCTTTTCCCAAATTCACCTGAGAAAGTGGAATTACCCTTTAATCCGGGTCCTTTATATCCGCCTGGTGGCCATGCACAGTCAAATATCGGCTGAACAATTCCGCAGAAGTTCTCATCATGTGACTTATGACCTAATACTGCAAATATATTAGAATATTTCATTAATGTTGCATTTGTAACAAACACATAACGCACTCTTTAATCTGAAACGCTTCAGCCACAACTGTTACATAGTTAGTTGGGTTGGAAAGAAAAAACACAACGCATTCAACCTATAGAGAAAAACAAAAAAAGGAATAGGAAACCCTTCATAAACAGATTGTAAGCTCCAATGTCTTGTCTTGTCTTGAATTGTATTGTGATTGTAATGTCTTCCTTATATTGTAAAGTGCTGCGCAAACTGATGGCGCTATATCAATCCTGTATTATAATAATATGCCTACAGTTACCACAGCTGATCCGGATGAAGGCCAAAACAAAGCACTATAAGCATGGTTCAATTTGCTCCAACAGAGGAAGCATGTCCTTGCTGATCCCCTACGGCAATCAGATATTCCCTGGATCAACAATTTCTGGGGTTATGGATAGAAAATGAATACATATGCGAAGGTTAAACCTCTTTTCCTCTACATGTAAAGAGTGCCCCGTTGTCCTTTGCAGTGACCCCTAAGTGAATAATTTTGCACCAAGTTCACTATATGGAATGTTTCTGTACATTTATACCTGATTAAGCTGTATAGTTTAGTGTTAATCTGTGAATGGTAGTAATTGACCACATCTATATATGTGTATAAATGAATCCTCCCGTCTAATAACCTCCACTCTATGAATAAGCTCATTGGTAAAGGAGAACTATGAGGTGAGTGAAAATCACTCATCCTCATAGTTTGAGTCGACGTGCGACAATGAAACTGTCACATGTCGGCTCAATAGATCTGGAAGTGAGCGAACACATACCGTCGCTCGCTCACTTCTCGATCATCTCCCTGCAGAGAGCCGTGACTGTCACTCACGGCCCCCTGCAGGGATTCCCCCCCTCCCCTGTCAGATCCTCCAGTGCTGACTGGAGGAACAGACGGGGGAGGGTACAGCTGGCTCTGCCTCTAGATAAGCAGAGCCAGCTGTCACTCACGCAACTGGGTGGATCTCGACAGCATTGTTGGGATCTGTCCTGGCTGTGGCGGTCTCAGTATACCGCAATCTGTAGCTCGCGATATACTGAGCTTTGGATCACGGGAGGACGCTAGTATATGTCCTCCCGTGACCCTTAGGAGAACTATGGGGGGAAAATACTTACGCCATAGTTCTCCTTTAAGTAAAACGCAAGACATTTCACTCAGCACACTAGAGGGCGGAGTTTCGGGTGATCTTACCTTTGCATCGGATAGATTAATAGACTTTACTTTGGAGTGCAGCTTCCCTTTTCTCCTTATTGTTGGAGTGTCAAGCAGATGACGGACTGCTTGGGGAGCCAGAACCCTGTAGGTGTGGGTGCACAGATACATTATCTGTAAAGAACATTGGGGTTTTTGGGCATATACTGTGTATTAGTTGAGTCACACCAAACCATTAAGTTACTTTATAGCATAGTCATATTACCTGGCAGTTAGTAGAACTGTTTGGGCTGACCAATTAAAATTTGACTGTGTATTATCCGCTTTTGGGTTATCGGCACAGGAATAAATAAATTCAGACTCCCTCAAGTAGTCAAAATGTCCCTGCTAAAGCCACAGAGTGAATCAGCTGGAGAAAGTAAAATGAAAAAACGACTTTAGGGGCAGAAATATTTGATCTTAATTACTGTGCATTAAGGGAAATCTTTCTGAGTATTAATGAGTTCTGGCAGTTAATCTGCATTTAGGAACTAATATTATTTTTGCTTGTTACATGGATTTCTCCGAATGCGTCGGGGACAAACAAATCCAGGTTCTGTCTGTCCATCTGGTAAAATAATAAGCCAATGAAGTATGGCGGATATTTGTATTCAGCTCAGGTCTATGAGGCTGGCAGGAGGATAAAGGCCCTTTTATCCTAGAAGACTGATGGAATGAGCCGCTTGGCACAAAGACCCATTTCTTCCACGTGCTGGACTGCCTGCCCAAGCGTGCCGTGTTGTTGTGCCAGTGCAGACGGGCAATTTCTTCCTGGGGGTCGCTGACTCCATCAGTGGCTGCTGAATAGAGCTGGCCCACTATGTGCCTAGATGGCAGACCGCTAGACAAGCTCTGAGCTGCTAAACGGGTCCCGACAACTAATAGGGATGTGTTTAACTGTCCCACTATAATATAGGCACTTGCCAGCGGAGACTCACTGCTGGCAGGCTGACCTTGTTTTACAGTTGTGGATCTCAAAGTGTTTTTTTTCCTCTTTATAACTTGTGTTTACACTGGGAAATCTATAGTTCTGGTTCATAGTAATGTAGCTCCTATACATTACAGGAAGTTGTTAGATGTGCAGACGAGGAGTGGGTCTGGCTCGTAGTACTGTACCTCTTGTACATTACAGGAAGTTGTTAGACGTGCAGATGAGGAGTGGGTCTGGTTCATAGTACTGTACCTCCTGTACATTACAGGAAGTTGTTAGACGTGCAGACGAGGAGTGGGTCTGGTCCGTAGTACTGTACTTCCTGTACATTGCAGGGAATTGTTAGACGAGGAGTGGGTTTGGCTCATAGTACTGTATATTACAGGAAGTTGTTAGACGTACAGACGAGGAGTGCCTGCCTCTTCTTCCGGGTCTGGTACTGTACATTACATTACAGGAAGTTGTACAAACATCTGTCCAAGTTGCATTTAAAGTAGAACTCCATGCAAATGTTATTTTTTTAGCTTTGGTTAGTATGGCGTTGGGTTAGGGCCACTGTGAGCACAGCAAAACAAACATTACAGGGGGTTAACCCTTCCCTATGCTATCCAAAACGAAAATCATTTGTTTTTCATTTTTTGTGTGGCTGAAGTTGCACTTAAAAAATGTACCTGTTCCAACTTACATACATATTCAACCTGGGATCAAACCTGCAGTCCCTATCTTGTTTGTAACCCGGGGACTGCCTGTATTTATCATTTTTTCTCAAAAAGAGGATGAGCAATGAGGTCCCCCTGCTTTTCTTTCCATCTCTGCCCACTTGTAGTTTTGACTGTTCCAGCCTATTGTGTTGTGGTTCACAGGCGTTGTAGGTCCACGGTGCTGGTGTTGGCTAGCACCAATAAATGCAATAATGGATTTATAAAAATAAAAAGCCCAGGTTCCAGGTTGTGTGTTGCATTTATAGTGCGTGTAAAACCTTTGCCCTCACAGGAGTTTTTGCCGTAAGGTGCACATATGCAGAGCAGATTTGCATGTCATGACAGACTTACCTTGTGATATTTACCAATTTCTCACAAGGCAGAGGCACTACAGCCTGTATTACACCATATGAGAAAAGGCAGCTAGGCATTTCCAAAAGATCAGAATCTAATAAGTGATTTCGGTACGTGCTATATGTAGCATTATCTAAAAGTTGAGTTTTATAGACGATGTCTTGTAACCGGCATTACTTCACAGCGAAGCAAGTGCAACGCCAAAAAGAGATGCAGACTCAAGTCGGCTCACTCTCTTTTTTACATAGGCATGTAAACAGCAACACGTACAGCTGTCAAGAAAAACCTTCTGCTCTGAATATTCTATAGAGAAAGTGGTGTCATTTTAATTAAGTCATTTGGTAATAAAATTACAAGTTCTATTACTGATACATTCTATTTACAATAAGATTAGCATAATATAATTTAAGTAAACACTTGCAACATCAGGACTGCTGGAGGGCCAACAAAAACGTGTTTTGAAAGCAATCCTGGCAGTGTCTTTCGCTTTTTCTGGCCCTCCTCCCTTTCTCCGAATTAATTCCCGATGCAGGGAGGGTATGCAGGTGGCACAGGGACTTTGCGTGTCACCCCATCAGGACAGCTAATAAAGTGTGACACCACCTTGGCAGCGAAGGGGATGGAATGACAGATTGACATCTCTGAAAGCCCCAGCGGTGAAAGAAAAGAAAAACTCTCTCAATAATGGGGGAGCATGAAATATAGATGCATCAGAACACTTCTGCCGCCCACAGCTGATGTTGTTAAATCCCCAAACAATTTTCTGCCCAGTGCCCTGCTAAAAGTTGCAGGTCACCAGATAATTATCCCTTTCTTGTCCTTCTGATGCACAGTAGGCTAAATGGCCTTGGAAGACCAAAACACAAACGGCAGGAAGCAATCCGTTGTGTGTACTGCCAGGAATGGCACACATGGGGTGTCAGATGTACAGACTGCTTGTGATCTAATTGTATTTCAGAGATCCTTGGATGCAGAGGTGCTGCAATAGTTCCTTTGTACTGTCAGAATTCCAATCTGGATTGGGAAGAACGCAAGATTTCACAGCTGGCCATAGATGGAGATACCGGATAGTTTAGTACCTTGTATCTTTTGAACAACAAAGCTAGGCCAACTCTGCAGAGCCCAGAGGTAACAGCTTGCTTGTAAACCATGGTTTTCCTTTTACATTGGTGGTAGATTTTGCCAATAACCAAAGTTTTTGGTACTCTGAAGATACCCAGAAGAACTCAAACCAAAGCATCTACTACAACCACCTTGAAATGTTCAATAAGAGAATCCCAGAGCATAGCAGGGGATAATTGGTGTTCAATCAGTTTTTATTATCTTTTTTAACAGAATTCGAACAATTCGTTATCAAAACTCAACATGTAAAAACATGACAGCGGGAGACAAGATGATGAGAGTAAAACATCAGTGGACTGGTATTGGCATCCGAAGACAATTATACATGGTGCCAAAGGTCAGACAAAATAGCATATATATCCAAGGCACTTAAAGTGTGTGAGAGGGTCATAGCATAAGGGGCAGCAGGGG